TTTCACTCTTGTTTTCTAAATTTAGCGCAGCTAAGATTCCATCAATGCTTGTTTTCTCAACGAAAAAACCGGTTCTTTCAGGGCACTCAGTGCCAAATTGGTGTTTGGTTGTGAACTGACTGACGACTTTGGGAACAAATAGAGCTCGAAGTTAGTAACGATACTATAGAATAGCATATAGTTGCTAGAGTAGCTTTTGATCGTCCTCAATCATGGCAGCCCAATGAAATTCGTGTGAATTCATCTTTCAAAAATGTATATTTTGCAGGGAATTTTCTCGAATCGATTTTCTTGACTTTTCCTTGCATCCGTTCCTGTGATAATGGATGAAGGATTTAACAGAAATCAACAGAGATTCAAGGAGATTCACATTGTAAAGCGCCAATCATGGTTTCTGAACCAGTAATTCTTGGTAGTCCTTAAGTGAAAAGGGTAGCTTGCTAGATCAACACATTTTTCATTATTTTCTTTAGCAAACGAATGGGATATTTAGCGTAAAACGGCCATCATTTCCGCACATCTCTAGAGGGCTAGTGCCGGACGAAGGCACAAAAGCAACACCAGTTGAACGTGCGCTAACGCAACGCGCGCGTAGAAACCGTGTTCGCGCCCCAAAGTTATGCGTATTCATCTGACGGTCGCCTTTATAAGTTGCTAGCTTGGCTAATAAACCAGCAAATAAATTTGCTTTGGATGACATTATTGTGTCAATCCGCTTCCTTAAACGCATAGCACGCGAACGCGGCGCGGGGCTCTGGCGCGGCGATTGCGCTTACAGAAAAGGGAGCACTTGACTGACACAGACTACGTTTCAATCGTGTTATTTCCACTTGCTGTTGCAAACCAGTAAAGAATAAATTCAAAAAATTTATTTCTAATTCGAGATCGTTTACCGAAGATGTCATCTATCCGGCGAAGACTAGTATTGAAACAATCCGCATCTAGTCGGTGAAGACGAAAGCATAGCAAGTGAATTTCTCTCCTTTGACGGAGCAGAATTCGGCGCTCTTTGAGATGGTAAAGTCGAAGGAGTGGGGTGTGCAGAATACAGCTAGCTTGTCATTCTTCTTTACAAGTTCGGCTGTGATCTTCGTACGGGTTTCGGCTTCGTCGTCGCTCATCGCCTAAAAGAGAAGTTATATTGTGGGGGTGGTGAATGTAAAGTTCGAGGAGGATTTACCTTCTTGATAATTTCCTTTACTTCATCGCTGCTGCATTCAATATCAGAGCTTGTTCCCTTTTTCTGCTCAGCTGCTCGAGCATGTCTCCTTCTGTATCCACCGCCAGTGGAGTAACCTCCTCCTCCAGACTGGGCATAACCACCACCGCCTCCACCTCCACCATAATCTCCCATTCCTCCACCGTAACTTCCTCCGCCATTTCCATATGATGGCGACATTGAGTAAGACTGCATCGGTGGCATCGGTGGAGGTTGAGGTGGGTACTG